GCATCGACTGCTTTTCTTCAAGAGCATCTGCTCAGTTAACAGCCTCTCCCAAAGCCCCAGTTATTAAGGTTGGTTATAAATGAACCGTATTAAACAAATAACATGGATTTTTCTGAATTTGCAGAGCCAATTTATAATTAATGGGGAATTGGGCCTGCTATTAAGTTTTATTAAATTCTATTTTCTTGTATCTTTGCCAGTTACAACATAACTGTTGTTTAAAAAGAAAAAGAGTACTAGGCAGCTAGGCAAGGTGTTAGGTTCGGCAAGACAGAGGAGGGAGAGACCCAAGCCAGGCGCCATTTCAGTCAAGAAGCTTTATTCTACCAGCATGGAGGAAAGGCTGAGTCAGATCAGCTCCCCCGAGCATAGGAAAGCAGGAGGTGTATAAGACTTTTAGGGTTCTGGCAGAGTAATGGGCAGTTTCGAAATCAGTGGTATGCAAGGTGACACAGCCCTTGAGGTCCGATAGCACCTGGTCGGTCAGGGCACAGGCTTCTGAAACATTCCTTCCAGCCCAGCCCACTTGCCTTAAGCTGGCCATGAGGCTTAATTCAGGGTGGAAAGAGTCCAGACCTGGGTGTGACCCCCTGGAGCTGCCCGTGCACGGTGCATGTCTCCTGCCAAGTAAACTTGGAACCTCTTTTCTCCACCCTTAAAATGGGTACGGAGTTCCCAGTACTACTTAAGGTTATTTGAAGAATTAAATAGGATTAAAATTTCACCTTTATACACCTTCTTCCCTCCCTCCCTCCCTTCTCCTCTTCCTCCTCCTCCCACTCCCCCTCCTTTAATGAGAATGGTTGACAGCACTTTTCCCAAACAGGTAGGGACAGGAGATTGCATGGCAGTGGATCTCTTGGTTCTGTCCTGTCTTAGTCACGCTCATGAGAGTGGGGAGTTGCTCACTATCTGGGGGCTTCCGGGAGAGCGTGAGCATGGTGTGCTGGCCTGTGGCTAACTGCCAGGTCTGCAAGCGCAGCCTGGTGGGTAGTGCTGCCAGCCTCCATGGTACCCGCATTCCCATCACAGACAGCTTCAAGCCACCAACCTGCCAATGTCCGAGTGTGGAGTTGGGAAGACACACAGTAGCCAACATTATTTCCATCCTACAACAGATGCAAATAACCTCAAAAGCACAGATAATAAAACATTGTAAATCTTCAGGAAATGATGTTTTTGAGTATCTATTACCTTTGTTTTTAATATAATTTATTTAATTGTCATTTCATGCAATTTAATTTTAATAATGGTTGTGTTTAACAACTGACTCGCAAAATTCCTAAAAATTTTAAAATGAGCTCTTGCAAGCCGGTATGGGGGCCACTGGGTGTGACAGACTATGCTTGGTTTGATCCTGGACACCGCTCCGTGGGATCCGCTGGCTACTGGGAAAAGGAGGACCCGCCTGCTCCAGGTGCTCTGGAAGGGAGGGAGGTGCTCCAGCCCTCACTTCCCATTCATTAAATCAGGAAACCCTGCTGACCTGTCAACATGAGCCACCAATGTGACCCGGTGTGCTGTGGTCCTCGGGCTTGCCCTCAGGTCTGCTACCTACCTCTTCCTGCCCCTGCAGCACAGTGAACGGCATTTCTCATGATTTCTTGCCCTTCAGCTACCAGGTAGGTTCAGCCAAGAGGAGACATTGGTGGAGGATTGGAGGGTGGGCAGAGAGGAGGAAGCAGGGTGCCCCCTCCCCATCTCCCATTTCTGAGGCATTTCTGGTAGGGCTGTGTCTCTCTCAGCACCCACTGGAGGCCCCTCCCAGCTCCCAGCTCCTCACAAGGGGCCCCAGCTCCTGGGCTCTAGTAGCACCACCTTCTCCTGTTGTCCCTTCAGCCCATGGTGCTAGGAGACTTCAGTAGTTGTGAACCCCTGGTTGACTCAGTGTCCCCTGTTAAGAGCGTCAGCCTTTTTGCTGGTGTGATCTGTACCCTGTATTAAATTCCCTTTGTTTGACTAATTGGATCTGGCCTGATACAATGGGGTGGCCTCAACCAAGAACCGGTGGTTAAAAGCAGGACAAAGAGGGACAAACAGGACAAATCCTCCCTGAAGAAGGATTATCATGTCTTAAGGTAAAGGAAGTGTTGACACAGGGTCAGAGGGTTTAAGGGGACAAGGTTGGTTTCAGTGCAGTCCATCATGGTGTTAGAAGTTACTCTGAGCCCAAGAATTATGGTTGAGAGTCAATGGAAACGCATGTCACTATGAATTAAAGACATGAAAAGTGCATCCCCAGTGAGGGGCATTGCTGTGTGCAGACAGCAGTGACCAAGGGTTGGCCACAAAGCTGTGCAGGGAATGTCTTCAGCAGTGACACCCTGTGGCAGGGAGGTGAGACAGCAGCAGTGGGTGCCACGACCCACTTCCACATCTCTTTCCATCTGGTGTTCGTGTGGGTGGGAGGGGGCCGGATTTCCCCCAGGATTCTTGGGCAATTCTTCAGGATCAGGGGCAGGTCCCAAGAGGCCTATACAACTTTTGAGGCAAGTGAGGACTGAAGGGAATAATTAGAAAAATAAGAGCTCCATGAGCATATTTCAGAAGTAGGACATTTTGTTACACCTTGGTTATCACAGATGAGGAGTGTAGACAGCACTCCATCTTGGCTGACCCCACTGCAGACCCTCTGGCCTCAGTGCCCCCTGCTTAGTAAGCACCCCCCATCCTCAGAAGTTCTGCTGTGGGGAGGAGATGGGGAGCGGCCCGGAGGATGCCAGCAGGGAGACGGCAGGCCCAGGTTTGCTTTCAGAACATGACATGCACCACCTCCAAGAGGATGGGGGTCTACCAAGGTTTTGAGAAGCAATTTTCTAGGTGTCAGGTTTTCTGTAAGATCCTCTGTGGACTGCAAACCAGCTGAGTTTGCCTTGACTGTCAATTTGCCTACTGAAGTGTAACACACGTGAGTGTCCTAAGTTTGAACCTGTGATTTTTCTGTTGTAAACTGCAGGCAATGCACTTTGCATGCTAATAGATGCCCCACATTGTAACTTCACTTGGGAAATTTCTGGAATCTTGTGGACCCACGGGGCTGGTCCTCAGCTGGTGATGGACTTTTGGGCCTCATACACTGCCAATGTTTTGCCTCATCATCCTCTTAAAATCTTGGGGAGATCTGGAATAGAAGGAGGGCTTTCAGTCTTGGGTTGAGAGTGGGGCTCTTCAGAGTTTCCCATGGCAGCAGGAGGCACGAAACCGGAGGGTCCCGAAGGAAGGAGGAGTGAAGAAAGGGGCTGGTGGGGGGGTGCCCCAGCAGGCAGGGGGCTAGGGGAGCAGCCCACTGCTTGTGGGACAGAGGGCCATGAGGTGCAGACCCCTGCTTCTCTCTTAGGGCAAGAGAATGTGGATGCGTCACCAACATGCCACCCTCTGACACTGAAGCCCCTCAGTGTCCTCAGCCCCCAAGACTGGGAGCCTGAGCTTGTCGAATTTGGCACCTGCTCATTTTGATTCTTTCATTTCTTCCAGGGTGGACAGAACACAGAACTACTGCTGGCTGGTCTTTGGGGACATTTCCCTTACAGGACCTGGGATCCCTAGGTAATGGCGTTTCCTCTCCCAGAAAGAGGCGCCTTGGGGATTGAAGGCTGTGACCCGCCAGGACGTGTCAGATCGGCCAGCTGCTGAGTGAAGCTCTGGGGTCCAGAAGTCCTGAGAGCAGGGAGACATGTGGAAGCCACCAAGAGGGCCACAATTTCTGCTCCTGAGAAACCAATAAAGGGGCTTGGGGCACCACCCTGCATGGGAAGAGCTGGTCAGTTTGTCTTTTGGAAGCTTGGCATCCCATCTGCTGGATGAGCCAAGCTGGTCTGAGTCCAGTGCTGCCTGGACAGCTGAGGCACCCCCTGGTCCTCAGCAGGGGTGGGCGCAGGCAGCAGGGTCAAGTGTAAAGGGGCAGGCAGAACCTTCATCCATTTTCCCTCCTGGGATCTGCGATGGTGTTTCGCTGCCATTACAAACCACTGTCTTGCCCAGAGATGGCGCCTTGTGGGGGTCTCTGTGTGGAGGTCAAGGCCTAGCAGGTCTAACCCCAGGCTGAGCCGCACACACTTGCAGGCTACCACGACCTACCAGTGCTGGCCCCTCTTGTGCATGCTCAGGATCGGTGCCGCAGCACAAGGTCAGTAGTTGATATGGTCAGTGTCTGTCCCCTCCGGAAATCATGTGGGAACTTGCTCCCCCATGTGGTAGGGAAAAGGTGGGGACATTGAGAGGTGATGGGATGGTGAGGACGGTGCTTATGAGTGGGATGATCAGGGAGTGGGCAGGGGCTTTATAAGGAGAGGAAGAAGCATGGGGGAAACGCTCTCGCCATGCTCACCACGCGACGCCCTGCACTGCCTCGGGACCCTGTAGAGTCCCCACCAGGAAGAAGACCCTCACCCGATGCACCCCCTGGGCGTGGACTTCCCAGACTCCAAAGCTGTAAGAAATGAATTTTGTTTTCTTCATAAATTACCCAGTTTCAGAAATTCTATTATAAGCAGCAGAAATGGACTAATACAGTGGTCTCAAGTGTCAGTGACAGAGAACAGTGTGGGGGACAGGCCACTTTGTCTTGGGGGGAGGTGGCCGTGAGGACACTGTGGGGAAACCTTGCACCAGTGAGTTTCTGAAGGGGTGTGCTATCCTGCTGATGGTGGAGAGGACTCCTTTTGACCAATCTCCATTTTACTCTCCTTTCTTTTACTGCAGAAAGCCTGGATTTTAGCTGGACAAGCAGCTGCCCAGTGAAAGGCCACATTTCCCAGCCTCCTGCCACTGCATGTGGCTCAGTTCTGATCATCAGGGACAAGAGCAGGAACGTGAGCACAGCTCCCAGGGCTGCCACCTGCCCCCCTACCTCCTCCCCATCTGCCCACGTGGACACGGGAGCAGGTGCGCTCTGGAGCTGGTGTCACAAGCAGTTGTGGCTTTGCGATCCACACAGCACCTTCCCAGCTGTGTGCCTGTGGCCCCAGAGCAGCAGCCACAGATGACAGGGGAACCATGGGTATGGCTGTGTGCCAATAAAACTTTATTTGTAGAAACAGGCGAGGGGCCAGGGCGGGGAAGGATGGCAGGAGCCCGGGCCCCTGGTGGGATGGCAGATTGGGGACGCCTGCCCAGCAGCCGCCAGCTCAGATTCCCACTCAGACGCAGACGGACATCGGCCTCCCTGCTGGGTAATCCAGTCTTTATTTGGTCTCCGCTGAAGTGGTCAGTCAGTCTCCTAAACACTGCCCCTGGCATTTGTCTGTGACCAGTGCAGCTGTGGCTTTCTCCCCACTTCCCCTCTTACCAGACCACGAGGAGCTGCTCTTTGATTTCTAACTTAGTTCATGATAAGACGGTGGGGCGGGGGAGTGAGGGCAGCGGTGGTTCTGCCCCGAGGCCAAGCTCTGTTGATCCAAGATGCCTGGGCTCGTCCTCACGCGTGGGACAGGGTGGGCTTATTTCCGCGTTGGGGTATGTACAAGGGCGTTAGCACATGCAGAAGAGGAGGCTGTCCAGGCAGCCTCGACAGGACATACCGTAGAAAAGGCACGTGATTCAGAGTCAGAGTGAGCTGTCCTCAGATGCCCTCCCTTGGGCAGGGCCACCTGTCCCAGGAGGGAGAGTTTGCATCCCCAATGGAGTGGCCGGTGCCCTGGCCGCCTGCCTCCACCATCCCCGGCGACAGGGCCCAGCCCTGAGATGCCGCAGGCACGGCCAGGGCTGCTCTGGGCAGGTGGGTGCAGAGGGGGGTGGTGCCAGCTTCCAGCCCGGCAGGCTCAGCCCAACACTCCCCAAAGTCTGCGAGGGTCCACATCAAGTGGAGGGGTCCCAGCGTGGAGGCGGGAGGGTCAGTGCCGCCCGTGTTTGATCCAGTTTCTGATCATCCACTTCTGCCCCGAGCACCTCTGCACCACCAGCCGGAGCCCGAAGTTGGCGTCTTTGGACATTTCCACCTCCAGGCACCGGCCCGTGTCTCGGCTCACAATGGGGCCACTCTGTGCCGTAAAAGAAACTGAGTCAGCTTGAGAGCCTAGAGGTCTCCTTCCTGAAGAGTCATCCCTGAGAATGAGGGGTGATCCCAAGCCCCAAGCTGGTCACTGCATGGCCATCCCAAAGGCCCAGGGTCCCTCTGATCCCCCTACCAGCTTCTGTTTATCCTGCCCCATCCCCTCCCAGTACCCCCCCAATCCTGCCCTGCTCTCTCATCTCTGGGGTCTAAACAGACACTAGGAAGACAGCGTATAAGGCCCCTGACCTGGCCTTTCCCCCCAAGGTGTCCCCTTGGCCCTTGGTTGCCTCGGCAGCCCTGTGGTCCCCTGGACATTGATGCCCTGGCCCAAGCCCAATGACCCCAGGAAGCAGACCTAACAGGTTCTCTCGTGTGATGCTGGCCCTCCCCGTCCCTGCCCCAAACCGGGCCCCTCAGGGACCTTCGATGCTTATTGGCACAGTGAGTTCCAGTGCCAGCTCCTCCTGGAGCCTCTCCTATAGCCAGAGCCCCCAGACCCACTGCTGAGCATGGGCAGAGCCACTCTTGGACTGTCTGTACACAGAGGGAACAGTGATCGAGGCCTGTGCGGGGTCCCAGCAGAAGGAGAGGGTGAGGTTGGGAGTGGGGATGGGGACCCGGAAGACGAGGCACAGGTGGACTGGGATGGCAAGCGTGGCTGGAGTAGGTCCCAGGGCTCAGAGATCACCAGGAGGGGGACTTGACCTTGCATGCGATGCCAGGCCACTGAGGAGCTTTCAGGTGGGAGAGTACCATGGGCAGAACGTGTTTTAGGAAAACCCTGAACTTCAAGTCCTGACCCTCAGTGCCTGCCAACACGACCTTATTTAGAAGTATGGTCTCTGCAGCTGTGGTTAGTTAAGATGAAGTCATGCCAGAGCAGGGTGGCCCTGATCCTGTACTAGCGTCTGGAGGCATAGACAGGGAAGATGGCCTTGCAAGGACGGAGGCAGAGACTGGAGCGACGGGCCACAAGCCAAGGATGGCCAGCCACACTGGGAGCTGGAAGAGGCAAGAACGACCCTCCCCTGGAGCCTCCAGAGGGAGCTGGGCCCCAGCACATCTTGAGTTTGGACTCTGGCCTCCAGAACTGTGAGAGGCACATTCCTGTGTGGTCATTCTTTATGTCAGCTGAGGACACCATTGCAGAAGGGTTTTAGGAGAATCTTCATCCTTGTCTGGTGCAAAAGATCTAGGCAGAGGTGGTGGGAGATGGGCAGAGCCCCCGAACATGGGGGACTGGAGGAGTGACCAGAGGCTTTGCCACTCTGCCGTGGATGGAGGCAGTGGAGAGATGGCTGAGCCCGTGGAGGACGTGCTGAGATCGAGGGGCCTGGTGTTTAGACAGGTGGGAGTGCGTGCAGAGGCTTGGTGTGGGGTGCACATGGAGACAGGGTGTGGGGAGAAGACAGCCTGGCAAGCAGGGAGGGTAGATGGGAGGCAATTCATTCTTGGGGAGGGAAGAATGGCCTAGCCCTGGGTAAGGGTGTGGGCGGGAATCGGCTTTGGGGAGTTGGGAGCCGCCTTCGTCCTCTCCAGTCCACCTGCTTATCCTTGGGCTGCCTGATGGGAACCAGCAACCCAGCAGCCCCCAGAGGGGCCAGGAGGGGGCTGTTTCAGCAAAGCGCCGAGGAATCGTCTCTTTCCCCACCTGGCCACAGCCACGGTGGGAATCACACCCCTCACTCTGCTCTGGAGTCTGGAGCCTGGGCAGCCTAGGCTGGAGGAGGCTGGGTTTTGGGGTTGGCCGAGGCTGGGAGGTGCTGGGGTTCAGGGTCAGGTGAGGCTGGAAGGGGCTGGAATTCGGGAGTGGCCAAAGCCGTGAGGGGTTGGGGTTTGGGGATGGATGAGGCTGGGAGGGGCTGAGGGTCAGGGGTGGCTGAGGCTGGGAGGGCAGCCGCAGTGCTGTGACCAGACCATCAGGCTCCCCTCTGCTGTGTGACCCTGGACTAGTCACCTAACCTCTCTGTGAGTATCGGGGTTTGGGCGGAGCAGCTGATCCAGGCCCCTCCTCTGCTCTGAAGCCTCCCTCACCCACTGCTGCCCTCTAACTCCCACCGTGAGGCTGGCCCAGGTGGCAGCCCCGCCCCTCACCTGTCCCTCCCGCCCCCCATCCTGCTACCTGGGTGAAGTCCCACAGCCGCTGCGTCGGCCGAGCCACATCCTCACACTTCCTCAGGGTGGGTGTGCGGCCCCTGCCGTCGTCCACCAGACACTTGGAGTCGGGCAGGAAGGCCGTGGAGCCCAGGGGGCCCAGCTGCAGGAGGCCGTCGGCGCTGTACCGTACCAGCTGGGGAGAGGGCAGCCACGAACTATCAGCAGTACCCACGTCCAGGCCAGGGGTGCCACGGCCCTATCTTTCCACCAGGCTCTCCCAGAGGGCCCCAGACCCAGCACAGAGGGACACAGATGGGTCAGCCCAGGCCACCCTAAACTAGCCATGGACTGGGGCCCTTGAGTGGCTGAGTTGGAGTCTCCCCCCTGGGGACTGGGGACGCTGCAGTGGATGCAAGATGACCAGGGGGCTGGGCTGGGAGGCTCTGAGTGGAGGAGGGTTGGCATGGCCTGGGCTCTGGATGACAGCCAGCTGCTAGTCAGCTTTGGGAAGAAGGAGGAGCAGCCCAGGCTGTCTGTTGCTGGCACAGCCTGGGGAGCAAGGACAAGGCAGCTGCTGGAGGCCTGGGGCACTTGCCCGGCATTGCGTCCCAGAGGGTGATCCTGAATCTCCCAGGGCCCATGCTAGTGGTCAAGGCACTGGAGCAGCAACAAGGCCCCCTGGCCCCTCTCACCTCAGAAAGTTCTGGAATGGGAAGGAGCCTGGCCCAGGGCCACAGCCAGAGAGATGAAGATGTAATTCCCCCCAGGAAGATGTCCTAGAGCCAAGCCTGGTGGGCAGCGCCCAGAGCAGAACAGGTGGGCGCTGCTCTCTGGGGTGCATGGAGCTTCCAAGGGGCCTGGGGCCTAAGCTGGATGCTCCCTCCTCCCTGCCCCCTCAGCCCTTCATCTCCTGGTGGTGGTGAGTGAGCAGGAGGTCAGGGTGGGGTACAGCTCACAGCTGAGTGCCAGGCTGCCTGGCCTCTGGGGGTACAGGGACCCCTGTGCCTTCAGCCTAGTTGCTCAACCAGGATCCGCCTTAGATGCTTCTTTTCTCAGAACTTTGCCCAGAGCTCTGCCCCACAAAAGGGCTGGGCACCTCAGCCACAGGCCTGGACTCTTGAGAACTTCACAGGAGCCCCAGGTCGGCCTCATCTGCCTTTGAACTATGAGGGAATTATTTTCAGATGAAGGAGCCCCAAGTTCACATATGCTGGGGTCCTGGTTTATGCTGTTTTTGCATAGCAAAACACCACGTAACATAGGCTTCTACGTGTGACTGTATAGTAACAACTATACACTCAACAGGAAACCAAGAGTCTCTATTCCTGCCACTTCCTAGCTGTGTGACCTTGGGCAAGTCACTTGACCTCTCTGAGCCTCGGTTGCCTCATCTGTAAGTAGGAGATTATGATAGTACCTGCTGACAGGGCTATGGTAAGGATAACATGAGATGTGCTTAAAATAATAGCAAACAATAAATACATCAGGTCTTTTCATATGTAAAGTGCATCTCTCTCAATTTCTCTTTCTCTCAGGCACACACACACACATGTGCACACACACATATATGCACACATTATGGAAGACTGTATTCTCCAACACAGTCTCACCGGAGATAAGCTGCAATAATATCTCCCACCCGACACGTGTGTATTCTCTCTCCTTGAGTTGTTTGGGGAGTGTGTGGACATCGTGGAGGTGAGGCGAGGTCATAAATGGGACGCTTGATCTTGGAAGCCACTGTCATGCTGTGAGGAGCCCAGGCAGCCTGGGGAGAGGCTGGCATGGGAGGGTGTGAGACCCCAGCCAGCCTCAGCCCCCTGAGTCTCAGTTGGCAGCCAGCACACCTCGCCCACCAGACAAGAGAGGCAGGGGGCAGAGGGCCTTCCAGCCCTGGTCAGGCAGCTCCAGTGGACGTTGGGGAGGTGCAAAGACCGTTGGCTCCTGCTGAGCCAGCTCTGCCCAAATTGCAGATCGGTGAGCAAAACAAGCCTGTTGTTCTAGGCCATTCCATTTGGGGGCAGGTGATCACAGATACACTCCTGTGCTATTCGAGGGAATTGGCACTTGGTACAAAAGCTCAAGGCTTCAACCTGGAGAGCCAGAACTATGCAGATTGAGAGGCCAGCCGACCCCTGGATTCAAGTCTGGCCTCCAGAGCTGTAGGAGAACCCCGTGGTTTTAAGCCAGTACCAGTGTGGTCCTTTGTCACAGCAGCACTAGGAGACTAACACAGCCAGGTGTTGGGGTTTCAGGACATGGCTTCTCTCGCCTCTGACATTTCGGCAGCCTCCAGAGAGAACCTAGGTGTTGTGAGTGACCAAGCAGACTGATGTCAGTGTGCAAAGAGGAAACCACTGGCAGGCCGTGTCCTGTTTGATGGGAACATTGGTCCACCTGATCTCTCTGGTGGGGTTCTGTCACACAGGCCTGGCTCTCTCTGGTCTCACCTTGGCTCCATCTGCTGCCCCTGGTTCCAGCAGCCAGGAAGGCCATGTCTGCCGGCTGCTCCAATGTCCTCTGGAGGCAGAGAGCTCACACTCATCACTGGCACTGCAGAGGGTCATTGGAAAACCCCCACCTCACCCAGCCACGGACTCCCTGTCCCTAAACCCCAGAGGCCGGCCCCCAGCATGGCCCTCCAGCAGTGACATGCCAGGCAAAGGGGGTTTTCCCTCATGCGGGAGAATGTACTACTGAGGAACAGCCAGGGGACGCTTGGTCACCTCAATCGCTCCTTGCCAGGCACTCAGAGCCCCCTGCCCCCAGACAGGATGTGGCCCTCTCTCCTGGGTTCTGTGAGACAGTGGTGCCCACCAGAGGATTTCCCAGATGAGTTTTGACAGGCCCAGCACATTGGATTTCCTCAGAAGCGTCTCTGCATCTCCATGGGTGGCCACAGCACTGCGAGCTGCTGTGTCAGTCAGGAGCCCTTTAATGAGCTGCAGAGGTGGCAATGGAAGGGCGATCCTGTACCCTTGGCTCTGTCGTCAGAGGCTCGGCTCTGTGGTGAGCCTGCGGCCGAGTGATGCTTCTGCTGCCTCCAGGCAATGTCCCCATGCTCCATGGGGCTGGGTCCCCGATGGCTTCACGGATCACTCAATTTCTGCCCGGATGGACATTCATGGATGCGGCTCAGATTCAGAGAGGGGCCCGAGTGTCATTTTGGAGAAAGCAGGATCCTGGGGTAGTTAAATAACGTCCAACACCCACTGAACAGAAGCACCATCCTACAAGCATAATGGGAATTCTCTCCTGATTGGAGACATCGGGCTCTTTATCTGAGTCGTGTGACAGACGGGGGCAGACAGGGGCAGCAGCGCCTGCCCCAGAGCTGCGGTGATTCCACTGGCTGGGGTCTGCACCCAGTGCTCCAAGTGATTCCAAAGCAGAGCTGGGATTGAAAGTCACTTGGCAGGCACTCAGTTAACAAGAACGCCACCGTAGTAACGACACTGTTTCCTGTACTGTACACATGCTGTGGCAAATGCCTTCCCCACCCTTTCCACTTGAATCCACACAATGGCCCTGAGAATAAGTACCATTATTATCCCATTTAATTGATGGGGAAACTGAGGCATGGGATATTAAGTGATTTGCCCAAGGCCCATTTGACCCCAAAGGCCTTGTTCTTAATTTACCATGTTGTGCTGCCTCTGGGTGGGGCAAGGAGGAGTCTCCTTGAGGGGCCCTCATGCTGCTCTGAGCCCCTGAACTCACAGCCATGGTGGCATCAGGATGCCCCAGCAGGCCCACCATGAGCCCCCGCCCTCGGGTAGCCACTTGCCTGCTCTGGGGTGCTCAGGGCCAGGTGGTCTGGGATGTGGGCCTCCCGTCATCTCTGACCTGTACTCCCCCAGGGCTCACCGCGAGGGGCAGCTGCTGCTCCTACCTGGGAGGACATCCCATGGCAGGGGTAGAGGATTGCTCGGTCGTCGTCTTCTGCACCCTGGTCCAAGCAGTAGCCACTGGCTTTGCTGTTTCTCACCTGCAACCAGAGTGACCGGAGAAGCCCCAGGGCCATTGAGGAGGGTCCCAAGGGCTGAGGCAAGGCTATAGAGTGTGTGTGCTCATGTGCAGTATATGAACATGGCTGTCTATGTGAATGCATAAATGTGTATACCTCTGTGTGAATGTACACACATGTTCACATGTCATTTTGCCCTGACAACAAGTGATTATATGTTTGTCTGTGTGCAGGCACCTTTGACTGGGGTTCATGCATATAGGTGAAAATGTACATGTGTATATGGGGAGTTTCTGTGTGTGCATGAGCAAAACTGTGTGCAAATGTTATATTTCTGTGTGCACTTGTACATACATGTGTGTACACACTTTAATATGTGTTTGAATGGATTTAGGTACATGCATGGATGTGAGTACACATGCATGAGTACATACACATGTAGGTGATTGTATGCATGCTTGCACATATACACATGCATGTGAATGCACATATATACACACATACACAAATGTAGATGCACATACATGTGCATGCAAACACATGTGCACACGAATGCGTGCATCTGCATATATGTATGTGAATGTGTGCACACATGCATGCAAGTGAATATACACAAGCACATGTGCATGCATGTGTATGCATGCATATGCACATGCATGTGTGCATACATCTGATGCATGTACATATGAATAAATGTGCATGTGTACATGCATGTGAATGAATGCATTCATGTGTATACATGCATGTGAAAACACGTGTGAATGCATACATAAATATGAATATATGTATATCCCTATATAGCCAATCCGAGAGGCACCATCAGGGTGGAGGCGGTACCTCTCCGTACGTGAGGGTGTCGTTGTAGACCCTCATCTCTGGGTACACATTCTCCAAGTACCACTTGAAGCTCCGACATTTCAGCCTCTGGCGCAGGGCCAGCCTTTCGGACACGTCCCCGAAGTCCACCCCTGGGTTCTGCAAGACCAGAAGCAGGCAGGGGCCATGTGAGTGTCTCATGTCCCCATAACTCAGGTCTCTGCCCACCATGTGTGAGCTCCAGGACCCTGAGACCCTACCTTCAGAGCAGCCCCACTCCACAGAGCTTCAGGGTGCTGAGGCCTTGTCCAGGTCTGGCAGCTGTTCACCATAGGGAGGGCCCTGATGGAGACCAGCCCCAGCCTGGGCAGCAGGTCCCTGGCTACACACAGGCCAGGCTCGTCCACACCTGCAATTGCCAAGGAAAATACTGGCCCCTGCCTAGCTCCCACGGGTGACCCCTGAGCCCTGGAATATCCTACGTGATAGGACTGTCTTTGGTTACCTGGACAATCTATGCTACAGTGAGATTTATGGCGGGGCTTTGGGCCATGGGGTATCTGCTTGACCTCTTCAGGGGCTGGAGACTAAGATCAGCCATATGGATGGTCAGCCATGGCCATGTGACCAATCACGATAAAAACTAGACTCTGAGGCCCGGCTGAGTTTCCTGGCTGGCAGCACTTGGCATGTGTCATTGTCACAGGTTGGTGATGGGAGGACAAAGTGCTGTCCATCAGATCCCGGGGAGGGGACACCCAGAAGCTCGTGTCTGGTTTCTCCTGGACCTTGCCCTGTGCATCTCTTCCCTGTGCTGGTTTCGTTTGTGTCCTGTCACTGCTGTAGCCACAACCCTGAGCATGACAGCTTTTTGAATTCCATGAGTCCTTCTGGGGAATTGTGGGACCCAAGGGTAGGGTTGGGGACGAACACCCTGTGACAGGCAGCGAGGCCTCAAGGACTGTGGGGGGGGTCTGAGGGAGTGCCTGCGCCCCACCCAGGGCTCTGAGCTCAGCCCTCTGGCTAACAGCAGACAACCAGCCTGGTGGGGAAGGGCAGACTCAGCCTAGACTGCCCAGGTTTAGATCCTATCACTTCTTAGTGTGTAGCCTTGGAACAGTCCCTTAGCCTTTCTCTGCCTCGGTTTCCTCATTTGCAACGTGGGGTGATCACAGCAGAAGCTCACGGGTGCCTGGTTATGAGGATTAAAGGGGTCAAGGGGCTTATAGTCAGCCCTTGTGCAGTAGGATGAGGAAGGCCTTTGCCAGCTTCTCTGGCCTGAGCTGGTGGCTGGAGCTGGCAGATCCTCACCCCCTGCCCACACTCAGCAGCGATAACGCCCCATGCTCCCTTCACATGTTAACGGGACGTCGTCACATTGCATATTTTCCGAATTAGTTCGCTTTATGGAAAGCGAGTCTTCATGAGCCACTGCCCTCTTCTCAGAGTCTCCAGTTCACGAGTCCACGTTCCAACGGCCTCCCGGTCTATGTGGTGGGAACCCGCCGTGGGGGTGATTCTGGGGCAGAATGTCACATACACACACACATACACATGCACGCAGATACTCACACCTACACACAACATACACATGCATATACTCACACCTGCACACACATGGTCACAGGCAGCATGCACATCCATACACACATACTCACATCTGCACACACATTCACAGGCAACACACACACACATACACACATATACATTCCCAAACCCATTTCTCTACAGGCCGCTGGTCTTGTTCCTCTGGTCTATGCCCAGCTCCAGCTTCCTGCCAGCAGTAGCAGATGCCCACACAGGCCTCTGGGCCCCACTCCCCATGGTGCTGGCAGAGCCCATGGCTGTGGGCCACGGGTGGGGAGGGGCAGCCACCATGGTTCCAGCAGGCAGCCTGGAGCCTCAGGATTTCTGGCTTTCTCCTCTAGGATCCTGCAGAAGCCTGGTTATATTTGGCTCTGCCACGTAATAGCTGTGAGTCCTTGAGTGAGTGACTTAACCTCTCTGTGCCTCAGTTTCCTTATCTATTGAGTGTGGAAATAGGAGGATTGTCACAAGGGCTTTATCTGCCACCGTTATTACTGCTGTAGTGACTGCCGCTGTGAAGCTCTAGCTCACTGGAATGTGCTCAGCACAGGGCGGGGGCTGTGGTCCCCAGGACACTCTCACCCTAGGGCAGCATCTACAGCCACCCAGTGCCCAGTCTCCAGCACCCTGGAGGCTTTGCTAGCCAGCATAAATAAGCATAAACAACTGGGGGAGGGACTTCCTGGCGGGAGGCCTGGCTTGCTCGGCATCCCAGCGGCTGCTGAAATGGACCATGGCAGGTGAGAGCCCCGATGTTCCAGGAATGCCTCCCCACCTCTGTGACACTGCTGTACCTATTGATGGCACCTGAGGCTACACTCCTGGGAGCCCTGAGTCTGGTGGAGGATCCTGCTGCCAGACGCCTGCTAAGGGTACAGTCCCTGCTCTGGACAGTGGTTCTCAGGCACTGGTGGTGCTGGCAGGTCCTGGAGCTCCTTTCCCAGCAGGTAGCAGTGGGCCCGAGGACCACATTTCCATCAGCTCCACTTTGAGAGCCAGCGCACTGGATGGCGGTGCCTGCTGTGGGGCACTTGTGTAGCTGGGCCATAGTTACTGGCAGGGCCACAAGGCTGCACGTGCTCCCTGCTGGTCTGGTTACTGCTTCCAAGTGGCTGACTGGTCTGAGGTGGCTGCTGCTACTGCTGCAGTAGATTGTGGGGGCGGCCAACCTTCATTCACTTCTGACCACCAGCAGCACTTGCAGCCAGGAAAAGGTCATCTACCAAAATGGGTTGGGTTGTGACCGTGCTGGCCTGGCCCTGGATGGACTCTGGCTTGGATTTCCTCATGGGGCTACAGGTAGGCCGCCCTTCCCCAGCCCAGCCCAGTGCCTGGCTTACCGTCATGGGGATGTTCCAGGCCATGTACACGTGGGACTTGAAGTCGTCCATCCACACCTCAGCCGCCCGCAGCGCATTGCGCTTTGCGTAGTAGTCGATGTCGTTGTTGTAGGGCTTCTTGGTGCGCTCAATGTGGGCCACGCGAGAGCAGGGCAGCACCTCCATGCTGCCGCCACACTGCCACACCTGTGCGGACAGAGGTGTGGGCTGTGGGGAAGCCACCCCTCTGTCTCCAGGTGTCCCCTGTTCACAGGCCTGGGACACACCCTCCTGAGGGCACCTGCACCACTGTGGGCCTAGTGGATCCCTGAGGGTCTGTTTTCAGGGGAGGATGGCCAGAGAGAAGTGCAGGCTTTGAGCATGTCCTTCAGAGCCTGGGCACAGGCGATCTCCTCTTTGGGATTTCCTACCAAATTTGACTTCCCTTGCACGTTCCATGACTGGGGGATTCTTTGATTCCAGCCACCCGCACTTAGCTATTTTCCCTTCCTGGTGGCCCCCATCCCACCCCCACTCAGTGCTGTTCTGTGCAGGGAGCCCCCCCCAGCCACTCCCCCACACATCCCCCCAGCCAGCGTGAATAAACCCATCTAATTTTATTTATTTATTTTATTTTATTTTATTTTATTTTTCTTCCTTTTTGTCTTTTTTTGTGACCGGTAATGGGATCGCAACCCTCAGTGTCACGCCTGCACCGGTCTCTATAGGGGATCCGAACCCTCAGTGGGAGTACCGCTGCGCTCCCAAGTGCCGCACTCTACCGAGTGCACCACCAGGCTGGCCCAACCCATCTAATTTTAAAAGAGCCACTTGCTATGTGAACCCAGCTTCAAGCATCCTAAATAAACATATGATCTTCATCTAAATGAGAAGTCTGAGCAGCATGCTTCCTCTGCACATAAAACTCCCCCAAGCCCCTAACTTTCTGAACCCCCACCCATGGTAGAAATAGATTTTGCACCGCGATCTCCTTTTATAAGTTCTTACTTCTGTACTGCGTCACTTAAATGACACTCAGCCTTACGAGGCGTGATCTTTTAAATCTCTTCCATTCCATCCCATCCCATCCTGACCTATCCTGTCATGATGGCTAATTTTAAGTGTCCACTTGACTGGGCCACTGTTGTCAGAATGTTTGATTAAACATTATTCTGGGTGTCTGCGAGGGTGTTTCTGGATGGGATGAACACTGAAATCTGTACACTGAGACAGCAGATGGTCCTTCCCACTGTGGGGGGCCTCCTCCAATCTGCTGGAGGCCTGAACAGGATAACGAGGCTGAGTAAGGGGGAATTCCCTCTTTCTGCCTGTCTTTGAGCTGGGACATTGGTCTTCTTTTGCTTTCAGACTTGGACTCGGACAGGAATTTACACCATCGGCTCTCCTGGATTTCCAGATCACCAGCTGCAGACCCTGGGACTTCTCAGCCTCCCCACTGTGTGAGCCAATTCCTTATGGTGAATCTACATCTTCATCTATATCTATATCTGTATCTACATCTATATCTCCATCTACATTTGTATTTATATCTGTATCTACATCTACATGTATATCTATCTCTATGTCTACACCTACATCTATAGCTCCACATGTATCTACATCTACATCTGTATCTAGATCTATAACTGTACCTACATCTACATCTGCATCTGCGTCTGCGTCTGCATCTATATCTGCACTGCATCTGTATCTGTATCTATAGCTCCACATGTATCTACATCTACATCTGTATTTAGATCTATAACTGTACATACATCTGCATCTGCGTCTGCGTCTGCGTCTGCATCTATATCTGCACTGCATCTGTATCTGTATCTATAGCTCCACATGTATCTACATCTACATCTGTATCTAGATCTATAACTGTACCCACATCTGCATCTGCATCTGCGTCTGTGTCTATATCTGCATCTGCATCTGCATCTGTATCTATAGCTCCACATGTATCTACATCTACATCTGTATTTAGATCTATAACTGTACCCACATCTGCATCTGCATCTGCATCTGCATCTGTATCCATACCCTATTGGTCTGTCTTTCTGCAGAACCCTAGTGCCCTGTCCTGTCCTATGCTTGCCTATCCCCTCTGTCCCATCCCACTGAAGATGTGCTGGTGCAACCCACCAGGTTGATTGACAGTGAACACGGGGCCTGCAGAGGAGATGGAGTTATTGGAGGAGGCGGGGAAAGGTCTCCAGACCCCTGCCCTTTGCCCGAAGGAAACGGGACAGAGGAAGCACCGCAGACCAGCAGGAAGCAGCTTCGGAATTCTCCATCCACCACATGCTCGGCACCATTGCCACTGCCGCAGCCTCCTGAGGGGCCTCCCTGCTTCTGCAGTGGTCCCTCCTTGCCCTTTCTCAGTGCAGAGGCCACAGGGACCCTGGCAGCACTCACGCTGAACCATCCGGTGCCTGATTGCACCCTGGGAAAGCAAAGTGCCCACTGGGGCTCATGATGCCCGCCCTTCCACTCCCCTGGCTCATCCTCCCCTGGCCACAGGCCTCAGTACCCCGACAGGCCCACCACAGGGCCTTTGCACAGGCTGTTCCCACTCCTGGAACACTCTTCCCAGGTCCCTATGCTCCTGGCTGCCTTGCCTTCTCCCAACTTTTGCTCGAACATTGCCAACACCATGAGCCCTTCCTAATTTCCTGTCCTGGCTTTGTGGACCACGTAGCTTTTGTGACCTAATACAAGACACCATTTCCTGATGATCCACGGTGGTTCCTGCCACTTTTGTTCATGTGGCACTCCTCGCACCCAAAACGAGGCCCAGTGCACAGTAGGCACTCAGTAAATAGCTGTGGGATGAATGCATTCCCCTTTAACAACCTGACAGTGACTTATAGACCTGTAGACCAGCTCTGCCCAATAAGACTTTCTGCAGTGATGGGACATTCTAGATCTGGTATTTAATGTTAAGCTATTTAAGATGAATTTTATGCAGCCACATGTGGCCAGTGGCTATGGTACTGGACAGTGCAGTTACAGGCAAGATGTTCTAAGGGCTTCCCCGGAGCTGGCTCCGTGGCATTCAGACTTCAGGGTGTATGAGGCTTTTCAGACATGGATCCTGTGTGCTGAGCTTGGGGGCTTACAGGACCCTTGTGAGCCTTCTCTTCAGAATCCCAGCCCCTTCTTGAGTAAAACGCAGTCACGGGCATCTTGGCTCTTGGATGCCACCTTCATCTTTAGAGGGAACCCAAGTGACACCAGCCCTTCTGCTTGGCACAGGGGAGTCGGGGTTGCCCCTGCCAGCCTCCGTCATCAGCTGAGGCTGTATGGCTGGTGAGCTTGGGGCTGCTCGATCCCTGGCTCAGACCCCAGATGACCAAGGCTTTAAGGGGCATCTGAAATATTCCCTAACCTGCTGGGTGCACTCAGGTGTAGTCTGGCTATTTAGGTGCTCCTAGCTCAGAAATTACAAAGCGAATGAATGAAACGCCCACTCACTTGGTGAGCGTCCCTATTTCTAACTCCCTGCAAAATGGGAAAGAGCATCCTCACCAGACCCCTGTGAATTCTCAGCACAAACATCACTCTGGAACGTAGGATCCCTACACCCGAGCAGCTCTCTTTTCTGTGTTAGAGTTAATGACCTTGTAATTTTTCATATATTTTGATACGAGGGACCAATACATTATCTGACTGGCAGAATTATTTCCTGCTGTGTTCCCTGGGAGATTGATGTTTATGCAAGAGAGAGAATTTAAAGGCTCTACGATCACAGCTCTAAGGGAAACAGTTTAACCTCTCTATAAATTCCAGATAAAACTGGCAATAAATTCTCCACTCTGCAGGCCAGAGGAGAGCAATGCCCCAGACCCTAAGGACCAGGACTCCCTTGGGAGCCAAAGGCACATGATGCAGCACTTGGGGGGCTC